TTACTCTTTGTGTTGACCTGCTGCAGCTGCCTACACGTGCTGCTGTGCACTGTAAAATAAATGCTTAACAAGGTTTTGAAAATGAACTAATTACATACTTCTTAGTAAATGATAAGTGATAATGTGGTGACAAAGATGTGCTTTTGGTGGTGATTTGTGGAGCCTACACTAGCTGTACAAACTGTATGGCAGATTACTTTACAAAAGCAATGAAATTGTCTTTACTATGAGGCATTTGTGGAGATTGTGGTCAGACTCACTTTGTGTTATGGAAACAGAAAAGAGACCAGAGATGCTCTTTAACCATCTGACCATATGGATTTCATATTTCATTCAGCTTGCATTAGTCTTCTGTCAGGAGGCACCTCAGACATGAGCGCCAAAACATTCATGTGGGATGCCACTGTTACAATAACCTGTACTCCTGAGTGTTATTGGTCCAGAACAGCTTTCCTGTTTGAGAAAGAATGTTGTATGTTCTGGTGAATTTTGAGAGCCAGCACCAAAGTCAAGTTTTAATTTCAGTGGTCAAATGGTTACTGAGCAGATCTGAGCAAAAAAGAAGAGTCACTTATTGAAGATTCAGGTTCATGTAGTATTAGTCATCACATTCCACTGTTACATGGAGTTTGCTCCAGTGCATGCTCTTCATACTGGTCTGACCTGTGGTATAAACCCCGACTGCATCACCTGGACTCCCACACTTTGTCTGCCTACCTGGATTTGGATCACTAGTTTTAAGATTATACAATAAGAGCCCAATACTTGACATTTAAGATTGTAGCAATTGTTGTTTAGGGGAATTAATTTAACATAAATTACATATGTACAGATGTGACATATATGTGTGTGTGTGTGTGTGTGTGTGTGTGTAAAAGAAAACCCTCTCCAGTCATTGCTGATTCAGTGTGGTGGGTTAAGATGTAAATCCATAATTCATGGAAAGAGATGGCAGTCACAGCTTTGTTTTGACAATGTTTCCTACTTAGATTTGTTATGCTCATAACTTGCCCTTTTTTTTTTTTAGTGTGTGTGTGGGGGGGGGCATCTACCTTGTACAGTCATAAGACGTGTCTTTGTTGCCTCAAAACTCAGTGTTGAGCCCAAAACAGAGACCGAGTGTTGCTTGTTGAGGTTAACACTGCAGTCAAACTACCTAGAAAATGTTGAAATGTATTCACTTCCTAGATCGCAGTAAGAATCACTGGTCGCTTTGTGGCAGATTGTGACTCCCGACTGGGAGATGCAAGATTGAATCGTACACGGGAGGTCACCTTGTCACTTCTGATCTCAACTGTTCTGTGCCTCTTCACAAAAGGAAGGTGTCAGTTGAAGTTCCCAAAAAGCCATGAAAATAAGAAGCAACTACAAAAGCACATTGTTTTTAACTCACCCTACTTTTCTTCTCTTCCTCCTACAATTTGATCCTGTGCAACTTATTTGACATCTAAATTTCCACTCTGGTGAAGATTAGGGGAGTTACTCTGGACTGGGTGTATTTGAGCTAATGCAGGACTGTTAGATGCTTATGGCTCAGGTTTGAAATGCAGTTTGGTTGTATCCTGCATAGTGATTAACGTTTTTTCACTTACAAGCTATTGAAAGCATGAAAAACATGCTAATATTTGTTGTTGTTTGTGTTTTTGGCATGTCAGGATAGTTAGTTTTGCTGGGTGGTGACTTCAGCTAAATGACATGCTATGTGGCTTTATTACAGATAGTTAGCTAGTTTGGTATACTCACCTGATAAAGCATTCATTACTCATCTGACCTTTAGTTAGTGTCTATTGTGTGGTTATATGTAAGACATGCCTGCTTTTCCTCTTCTTGCAGATTCAGAGTTGTACAGATCAGTGTGAGTGGTTTCCAGCTAGGGTGATGTTTGACCTGTAGTGACCCTGATAGATTGAACTGTACAGAAATCAAAGTGTGGTTCAGCCCCTTTCAAGAAGTTGGTTTGTACCAAAAACATGACTTAAAATACAATTCTGTGCTCACCTTTATCACATTTGAATGCTGATCTAGAACAGAAACACCTTAATCTGTTTTTATTTACAATATTTAGCAGAAGCATTTGTTTAAGGCTACAGTATGTGGTGATAATTTTTTTTTCACCCAGCAGGGATAAGTTTGGGATGTTAGCTCAGGGTTAGCTTCCAGCAGGTTGCAGCTGTTTTAACTGTTGCAGAGCTGACTTGTGTGATATTGAGCATGCTCCAGGCCATATAAACCTATATGACTGTTTTACATGTGTTCAGAGCATTTGTGGTGAGGTTTGTGATCCACGTTCACTCAAACAGAACAAGCTGCAAAATACATGCAGATCCATTCTCACAAGTGGATTGTGTTTTCTCCCTAAGCTGCCTATAAATGTTTTGTTTTTTTCTTTTCATGAGAGATCTCCATTGTTGTTTTTAATCTTGGGCAGCAGGCACCACTGTTGTACTAAGTTACAGTATAGTTCAGCTAAAATACCACTGACAAGAACTCAAACTGTTTTTGTTTTTCAGATTGGATTTCTTGTTTAACTTTACGTTTGTGCAGTATTGTGCTTGAGTGGTGAAAATACAGTATATCAGAGTTGAGGATTGTACTAAAATGGCACATTACAATGCAGTGGTGCAACTGGGAGCTAAACAAGATGCTTGTCTTTGGATAAAATCATAGACTTGAGTTTTCAGCATTAATTGCATCTATTGAGCAATAAATTGATGATGTGCTCAGCTCTGGCCTGGTGTTGGTCTTGTGAAGATGACAGCCATCTAATCTCTCCTGTTGTTTTTTTTTTCCCCCATCCCCATTCTTTCTTATTCAATGTCAAAAGAAATAATTACTGCTTTTGTGTTTCAGGTTATCTTCAACTTGAACTAAAAAAAATCCCTCCAGGCCAGTGAATGATTATGCATCTCACTGCACCCTGAATTCTGAATCATTTTTGAAAGTAGATATTTTTTTAAAAACATGGTTATTGTGAATTTTATTTCCTTTTATCTTTGTCCTCTCCAGCTCGTCTGCTCTAAGACCACAGCTTACAAAGTCTTAATTACCCACAAATTTAAGCAGTGGCTCCAGACAATTAGATTTCACTTGATAGGCCTCAAAATTCTACTGCAAACTTACAGAGGAAGTACATTTAAGAGCCACAGCTATACAACCACACCCATACCCCTAGTCTATCCTTAATCAGTAAACAGGACATCCAGGGCCTATTCTGTTTTAATAGCACCCAGTTATCTACAGAGAACTAGCACCCTGATCCTGCCTTATCATCTCCCCCACTGTGTTGACTGTCTCCTTGTGCACTTGCATGTTTCTGCTGTGGAGTTGAGGCCTGCTTGGTGCACACCTCCCATTCTGTCTTGTGTTTGTGTGGATTTGCGCTCTGTCCTGGCCTGCTGCTGCCATCAGAAGATTCAGAGGGCACACACCATGGAAAATGGCAGTTTTTATGGAAACTATGTATTTGGTACTTAGTGTGTGATAACTTGGGGGTCAGAAGCTCAATTTTTTAAAACTCCTTTCTTGGTCTTATTTTTAATCACCCTTTTTTGCCCTCCTCTTGTTTTTTCTTTGCATTGTGAAGTGGGCATGCTTGTCAAAAAGACAAATGCTCTTCATTAATAGGCTTATAACCTCATAAATAGTTGTGTATAAAATAACTTTTTTAAATAAAACATTCAGCGTATATAAAAGGTCTGTCTGAGACTGATGATTTTGTCTGTTTGTAGCCGTTTGTTTTCCATATTCTTTTAAAAGGAACCATGTGCACTGTATTCTCCTGAAATGTACCATATATTTAATTTTAGTCTCAGTTTCTCTGGGCAAGTTTGTTTCAGGTTAGTTGAAATAACCTTACTTCTCTGTGAAGAATTTTCTCTGTCTCAGTGATGCGATTCCAACCTCTGCAAGACTGCTCGAATAAATGGTGAGCAAATCCTAGATACATACAGTGGTGAAAGAAGTACTCACATCCCTTAAGTGAAGGAAGCAATACAGTGTAAAAATACTTTGTTCCAAGTAAAAGTCCTGCATTCAAAATGTTGCTTAAGTAAAAGTACAAAAGTATTAGCATAAAACATATTAAAAGTACTAAAAGTAAAAATACTCGTGCAGAATGGCACATTTAACATTAATGTAACAGATAAAGGGGAGATAGTTTTACTTGCTTATATGCTTTTAAACTGAATTACTGCCGGGTAGTGTGACTTTCCCACAAGGGATCAATAAAGTCTTATACTATATTTTTGTATTAATCTGGTTCTGAAAAGTAACTAGAAGCTAAAGTTATAAAAATGAATGTACAGGAGTAAAAAGTACAATATTTTCCTCTAAAATGTAGTGAAGTCAAAGTATGAAGTAACAGAAAATGAAAATAGATTACAGATACCTAAAAACTACTTAGTTACTTTCCATCACTGCATACATAATTATCAACTGCTGGCACATGGGTCATTTACGGCATGTTTTTAATCTAAAAAAAACAAAACATTGGCTCCTTAAATTTTTTTTATTTACAGTATTAAGTTGCCTGACGCCTCCACGTAACAGCAGCACTTCCACAAGGTGTCACTATGGCGCTACACTCCTGTGTCATTCTGAATCAGCTTGTAATGTCTAGCATGACCTGAGTGCTGTGAAGCTTGAGAATGGGGTTAATACACCAGTGAATGAATACAGCCATCCAAAGACAGACGGCTTCAGACATTGTTTTTAATGTATTAGTAATGTATTAATATCAATTAATAGCTATACAACTGCTCGTCCTTGTTACACAGAGCGACTGTTGACTCAACAAATCAAAGTGATGGTTAGGTTTAGACACCTCTGCATACGTCTTATATACTGCAGTGATCTGTGCCAAGTCTCCTAAGCATGCAAGCCATCTACTGAGGTTTTATTTTGAAGGGGACATTTGGCTGTGTCAGATTAACCTTAC